TTTGCAGATAAATAAAAAAAAAGAAAAAATTAAATTAATATTAAATTAAATGACCAAACTAATTTCTTTCAAGCTCTTGAGTAGAGTTGGTCGTGTATATTATGTGCACACACAGTGTTATATACAGAGCAGGCGACAGATGCCAGGAGGAGGCACTTTCACGGTGAACGTATCTAGGGCTTTTATTTTGAAGTCTGAGGGCCAAGTGGAACCGGAAGTGTAGCTCCGTAGTTCCTCATTGGTTTTACAGTTCAAGGTAAGCATGGCGGAAGCTACAACAACAGCGGGCCCTGAGCAAACACGTAAAACATCGCCGGGCCCTGTGCCATTTGACTTTTCCCAGCCTCCCATTATCGAAGGCTTCAACCCTTTGCCGAGGGTCAAAGATGAGACGTTCAAAGAGAAGTTCACTAGGAAAACCAAGGAGAACCCATTCGTGCCAATAGGTGAGTTATACAAGCAGGGTAACGCTGAAGTTACACAAGTGCAGCGCAGCTTGAAGGGTCTCTTAGGGTGCTCAAATCAATGACATTTAATGCTACGTGAGCTTTTAAAACTCCAGCACTCTCAGCTCATTGTGTGGTTGTTAGAAAATAGTTTCTACACAAGACAATAATCAAGAAGGAAAAAGTAACAGCCAAACCCTGTATTTGTTTTCTGTTTGACTGACAGTGTGTTGTTATTCTCGGTTCATAGGAGGAACTTGTTTTTATTGTATTTAGTAAAGATGTTTTGTGTGTAGTTTGACCATCTTTTAATTCTAATAACAGAGAGCTGCAGCTGTGCCCTTGGGGAAAATGAAAAGTTTGGGTGGGCTAAATCCAAATCACACAAACACCTATTACATAAAATATGAGTGAAATTCTCCCTCAGTTATAATGTGAATGTTGGGATTTGATTTCCATTAATGCTACACTGTCTTAATAACCTTTATTTTAACAAATGTGACTCAAGAGTCTGGATATACTTCATGTTGTAGCTAGTAAACAAAACTCCCCATGCAACAAGAGTCAGGTGGTGGTAGGTCACATGACTAGTTAAAAATCAATATTTGAATGACTTTCCTGTATCAAAGGACAGTGCAGCAGACAGCCTGCCCTCTGTTTGGTCATCCTTGTGATGGATCCTGTTTATAAGACTTGCTTTGTATTCTCCAGGGTGCTTGGGAACAGCTGGAGCGCTGATTTATGGTCTCCGGGCCTTCCATCAAGGGAAAACCAGACAGTCACAGCTGCTGATGAGGGGACGTATCTTAGCTCAGGGCTTCACCGTAGTTGCCATCGTTGTTGGTGTCTTCGCCACAGCCCTGAAATCCAAGCAATGAAGACGGACCAGTCCCACAGCTCTGCCATCGGCCCCCATTCAACTTTGGGAATCAGACCGGATCAAACTTGGAATTGGACTGACCTTACTGTCTGAATGAACTGAATAATGTATTATGTCTCCAGCGTTGTTCAGATACTTATGTTAAGGCCAACACTATTTATTGTTGTTTGAAAACTGTGAATTGCTCACGGTGGAAAAATATTCTGCAACAACGAAGTACAATCAGCTCCTTACCAAGTAAGCAAGCTGTGTTTTACTTTTATTGTTCTATGAAAGTATTGAGACAAAATGCTGATAAATATAAATTATGCTTCTTTCTCTTCAGGAGGGATTTCAGATGTTCTCATACTGTCACTGAAATGATCTACGTAACACCTTCTGATATAAATTATAAGTTGAACCTGGTGTCCTGTGTGTATTTGAGATAAAGCATCACACTCACAACTGTATTCAGGGGACGTCTACTCCTTCAACCTTTATTTAAAAAAAAAAAATCAGTGGGGAAATTCATTGTAGCACAGTTTTTATTCTTATATTAACGGCCTGGGTGAGTAGATTAATGGGAGGAGGCGTTCAGACATCAGACAGGCCCAGTCTCAATGTCCACCTTAAACACTCAGACTTTCAATTTCACTTGAAAATGCTCGAGTACGAGGGCTCCAAATAGTAACAGCACTTTGTGAAATCACTTTACTTATGCAGAGGCATTTCAGCCGCCAGTGATGTGCGACTGTGGTATCAAATTAGAATCATGCCTTCATAGATTAAAGGACCAAAACCGAATTTACTGCTGTGCTCCTTTAAACTAACATTTGACGATTATGGGTGAATCCCTCGTGTACACTTATTTCACAGTAACACAGCCTTCAGCAATGTCTGAGCGTATGCACCGGGTGGATGTTGGCACTGGGCCACCAGTAATTCCAGCTCCTCACACATCAACTGGGCTAACTGGGATTCAAGTGATTATCTCCGGTGCGTTTTGATGGCAGTTCGAAGCCGGGGAAAATACGTAAGGACAAATTACTTTAGGTGATCGTACTCGACTGTTTTTTATTTTCCAGTTCCCTTTTAACATTACATAATGTCCAAATAGGCAACATGTGAAACAATGTGCAGACATTACTGTTGAAATTGACACCTTATTGATTGCTGCTTTAAAAAAAGAGTCTGAAACATACTTGTGTAACAGAAATAGTTCAGGAAACAGCTGCTGAGAAGAAATCTGTGAAATGATGAAATCGCACAAGCTGTCAATCACGTGAACTCTGCAAATTTAGATGATAGCAGAAATCTTTGGTTGTGATTTATTCTTTTTTTGCCTAATTGAAGAGGAAATTCATCTGGCTAAATACTCGAAACTGGAGTAAGAGCTACATCAAAAAAAGGCCACAAGCTTATGCATTTGAAAGAGAAACATTAAGCTACGTTAAATATGGTAATTAGGGATATAATACAACAAATGTGAACAAAGACTGTGTGTTTATAATTCTACATTGATGAGAGGCATACGTGGTTACAATCTAATATGCAATAGTGCTTAATAAGTAACTTTTTGACATCGACCAAGATGCAAATTTATAAAACAACTAAAAATTGTGCATCCAAAATATTGGCAGAGGCATGCAAAAAGAAAAAAAAGCTGACCTAATAACATTTTATAAGTTAAAGGGGAAAGAAAATGTTTAACTTACAGTAACAATATTTTCTTAAGTATAGCAGTGGTAACCAGCTAAAGGATGTCGCAACAATAGAGCAGTCCTTCATCTTCTCACAAGAGAGTGGGATTAAGTATATTATTTCAATATAATAGGCATCAAGAAAGGCGGAAAGTTTTCAAAGGTTATAAACATACCAGGAATTTTATGGAAAAGGGCATACAAACTCTTCTGATGCTATGTGAGGTTAAAAGTATGTTTCTAGAACAAAATCCTCCCTGCGACCTCCTCTAGCGAACGAGAGGTGTCTGTTTGAGAGAGATGAGGACAGAACGCATTCGAGAAACATCCTTTGCCTGTTTGTTGGTTTTCGGATTGAAGTCACAGAGACGGGCTACTCTCTCCCATTCGGATCCTGGGCTGTCGCCGTCGCTTTCTGCCAGGAAAGCCTCCTCCGATGCTCTACAGGTGGGGAGGGAGACCAGAGGGAGACATGAATGAGTTGAAATATTAAAACGGTTTCAGAACGGTTTCCATAACAGCAAACCCGTCTGAGCCAAACATGGCGCTCAACCACAAAGTTCAATCACACGAATAGCACCTGTGCGTACGATACACATAAAACTTCATGCATTTCTTTATGCCAATCATACACTTTGTTGGAGACATGATTAATATTTATTATAACCTAAGGCCAATGCAAGAAAAACCAAATTAGGCCTTCAAAAACAAACTTATTTTAGTGTTTGGGCATGCATCAGGTGAAAATCAACTAGTGGAAACACGGGGGAGTTCATACAACATTAAAAAGCGTAAGAATTCTAAACCTACACAAAGCCTATAACATCAGAGTTGGGCTGTTTGTAGAAAGCCTTGTCAGCGATCCTAGTACGCAGGCAAGGCCAAGAAAGCAGGGAAAAGAAGGAGAAAGGAGAACAGTTTCAGTGTCAAACAACAAGCAGAGAAAAGTTAGGGTCTGCATTAAAAGGGTTATGTAAGCGACCGAGAAACAACTCTAATGAGGTGGAAACAAAAGGTTTAAAACTGTCTGAGACTAAATACAATCTTTCTGTGCCGCCGCAGTACAACGTTGCCAATAAACAAGCTAGAAATGGCGAAGGTCAACTACTGGCTGCTTTGGTGCTAATGTGGGTGAAAACTGTGACATTTGCTCTCCGCCGCTTGCATTCCTTCTAGTTAGCTAGCTTCCTGTTTTGTTTTCCAGACTATCTAAGTGGACACGCAGCTGTAGCGTAATATCTCATCGGAGGATTGTCTCTCAGTGCTTTCACAGACACGGCGGAAGAAACTGGTCTAAACTAGAGCCACAGATGCAGAGTGATACCGTGCCAGACTTGGACAGAGTCTGTTGGAAAGTGTGAGAGAAGAAACGGGTTAGTTTGGTCAAAAAAAAAAGGGAAAGACTGCGATATTTTATATTATATTTAAGCATAACGTACATTGACTGCAACCGGACTAAATGAACAATCTCTAAGTCGTAGATGGACTGGTTTTATATAAGCACTAAACTAATTTGATCAGCAATACTACATCAATCAACGCTCCGACATTTGACCTGACATTTGATCACTCGTTAAACATTCGGTTTACAAAATACCAAAGTCCACCTGATATGATAAAGTCTTAATGTTGTGTTTCACTTGAGTTGTTAATCTGAATATAATGAGTTCAGTGTAGTGATTACAGCACCGTCACATCATAATGATAAACCAACTGGTCCTTCTCTGCATGTTAACAGGGGACATGTCAGACCCTAACCTGTTGTTGGCCTTGTTCTTCTCCATCTGCTCACTCTGGTGTACATGCCAGTCCTCCAGCTCCTTTTTGGCTTTCTCTCTCCACTCTGCCTCCGCCGCCTTGGATGCCGAGTCTTGTTAGGGTGCGACAGCAGAGAACAACGCAGTCAGGGAGTCCCCAAAAAAGATGGAATACAAAAAAGGAGAAGAACTGACATAGTGCTACGTCAAAGATAATGCTGGATTATTTATCTTAAAAAGGTAATTTGGAGAAAGATACATCACAAAGTGACATAATCACAGCGGGTCGTTACAGCTGGAAAGCAGGACGTGCATTATAAAGTATGATTCATGCCCCAGTGAGAACATCTTTGCTCACCTAATGCCTCAAGGCGTGTCTTCTGCTCCTCCCTCCACTTGCGTAAACTCTCCGGCTCTTGCCTCTGAATATCCACCTGGGCGATGGCTGCGTAGTTGTCTGTTGGACCATTGGACTCCTTTTGTAGGACATAAAACATTTACACTGCTATGAACAGCTGTTTCAGCCAAATACTGGACACCACAACATCACAGGGCTGTCAATCTATAAAATCAATGGAAAGTAAATGATGGTAACTGATGATAAAACTCAACCACACACACATAGAGACATCAAATAATGAAATATACTTAAGCTCACCTGAAACATATCCCCGTTCAGTGTGGCCGGCTCGTCTCCGAAAGCGTCTGACATTGTTATAAGAAGACAAAGTTTAATGTTAAGACGGGCTTCTTGGGAGTTTTCCTGTTAAAGTTCCTCTTTCCTCATCATCTGGGTTAAACTTATGTTCGCTACTATCAAAGCAGTGTCACTTTGTCCACAAGCTGAAAGTTACCAGCTCAGAAATGCAGCCGCACCTGTTTGGGCACTGATGTTGTCTATACAGCTTGGGCAGGTTTTTCCACAGCAGTCAACTGTTAGTTAGCCAATATATATATATATAACTTTTTTTAATAAATAATTTTATTTAAACCATACTGCTGTATATATTTCTGCTCATGTGCAGTTATATTTATTTCTACACTGTGACTCTACCTGCAGCTCTGCCCTGTGCAATGCTACACATCAATCACAGCTGTGTATAAAAAGGTTTATATAGTGTAAATATAACCGACATTTTCTCTATTTTAATATAATCCTCATACCTTTTCATGATTTACTTATACTTTAATGTCGTACTTTTCCCTTATTTACCTTTCTGGTTGTATCTGGAACTGCTGTAGCAAGTGAATGTCCCCAGTGTGGGCTCATTAAAGTCTTTCCTTACTGCTATACAACGTTACTAACGTTACACATAAGTTACTTGCTTTATAGTAAACCGTGTCAGTTACACGTTACATTGACTTATGTACGTTACAACGTCAGGCTGTAGAATTACCAACGTTTACCAACGTTTATCAACGTTTACCAACGTTTACTAACGTACGTTGTCACACAAACGCACAACCGTCAGCCAGCTACACTATGAGGCTAATGTTACATTGTTTTAATCGTAAATGAGCCGGTTAACCGATGTTAACTGACAAACTGACACCGCAATCAACTAACTGACGCTATTGATAACATAAAAGGTGGAGCTAGTCTTTGTTAACGAGTCCGGTCAAAGTACCGGTAGGCGCATTTTTTTTTTTTTAGTTAGCTTTCAGTTAGCTCGTTTGGTGGCTAGCTGACATTAGCTCAGTCACAAACTTGCCATAGTTGGCGGACGGCTGCTGCGGCGGCGGCTGTTGTTGGTCGTCTGCCTCTTCCAGCGACCCAAATCCCTCGCCGTCATTCTCTATCCCCGCTATCTCGCTCTCCTGTTGGGCCAGGAAAGCTGCAGCTGGGTCCTCTTCCGCTGGGTGTGCTCCGTTGTCAGCCATCTTTCACAAAAAGTGTTTGCAAGTTTAACTGAGCTTGGTAGCTACAGCTAACGCCACAGCCACAGAAATTAGGCCACCGGTTCTGCGACGTTGACACAAACAACTTCAGTGTTTTACACGAATGTCAGCTGTTACGGGCAGACTGTATGTAAAGCAACAGGGCTGAGCAATTAAATAGTCTGTAACAAATCTAAGCTTCGACTTCAGGCCCTCAGTGATGATTCATGATTTCTCCACTTGTTCTGCTCCTGTGATGATGGAGCAGGGCAGCACCCTGAGGGTACCATTCCCCTTTTGGTGTAGTTTGTCTCCATCTGCTGCTCGTCTGCTGCATCGCTTTTGTCAGCAAGTCTTGGAGATGTATTTAATCAAAAAGACTTACTATATAACTTACAATATAGTCTCAGAGCTGTTTTAAATGTTACTGTTAGTTTATCTTATACCAGTGATAACAAGCTTTACACAGCACGTCTCATACACAAACTCCAACAATAGTTACAATCCCCCCAAACATATATAATATTAATGTTATTTTTCTGATAAAGCAGGTTTTGCTTGTTAAATACAACGCACATATCAGCACCGAAGGTTTTCCCTTGTGGGACATGTTTCTGTCTCCCATTTGAGAAATATTGGGTGCCAATTTTGTCAGTGAAATTAGAAATATTGTTCCAGTGTGATAGAGAAATAACACACATGGCATTATATTAACAGTATTATTAACGTATTCAGATCCTTTAACTCAACAAGAGTAGCAATAACACTGTAAAAATACTCCATTGCAAATAAAAGTACAAACTGTATTCCATTTTTTAAAACGTATTTAAGTACTTATTAGTAAAATTTAGTATCAAAAACAAATATACTCATACAAAATGACCCCTTGTATATATTTTCTTTACATCCTGGCAACCTTAAAGTTGTTCCTATTAATGAGTCATGATTAATTAATCTAAATTATTTATTTTAAATGTTAAATGTTAAAATATTAAAGTATCCTTGTTGGAAAGGGGTTGGAGCTATTTCTGCTTTTCCTTTTATTTATTCTAATTTATTTGATTTGTAAGCCTATTGTTGGTTGATAAAACATTGTGGAGGTGCCACTTTGCACTCTAGGTGATTGTGAATTGCTCACCAGTTTCTGATTATTATTATTTCTTTATTTTTCTTTATTATTTATTTTTTACAAACCAAACAATCAGTTGATTAATGTAGACAATTAATCCATAAAGAAAATAATGATTAGCTGCAGTCTTGTACAGCTCTACCCCAACCAACTACAGCAGTAAAACCCTGCTTTTATATTAATGCATGTGTCATATGATCAATATATAACAGTCACAGGAGACATTTTTCTTCACGAGTACAACTGATTATCAAGCTATCAAGGAAATAATTATAATTATACTTCAGATGGTTGCATAGTGAAATGAGATATTGCAGCCCCCCATTAAGAAAGATTATTACATTCATAGAATAACATAGGAAATAAAATAAAGCAATATATGCAGATATTTATATCCATATATAGGATACATACACACCCAGTAAAGTAAGTAAGTAAAGCTTTATTTATATTTCTAACACAGAGTTACAAAGTGCTTCACAAACAGACCAATAAAAATATAAACATACACACACACACACATATATATATATCAAATATGTACATGCATAACCATACCCAATCATACATAGGAAGCATATTTATATGGTACTCCTATATTTGTTTAAGTGTTGGTTGAACTCTAATAAAAATGATGGGGGACATTTTTAGAGAGCAAGGTCTGACATAATAAAGTTGAATAACTCTAAATTCAACGTAATGTGGATTAATGTAGAAAGAAATAATCATCCCCACAGAATATCCATTATCCAGCTCAAAATTCATATTTTCAAAGCAGTTAGAAAAACAACCACAAAAACACTGAAGAATAGACTAAAGAACTTGCAAACAAATGTCTTATCAAATGCTTAGTATTTCATTCATGTCTCCTATGACACAACTTTTGTCTGTAACACAGTTGACAAAATAATGAATCAGGTGTTTATTTTGATTTAAATATTTAAGTAATCATTTGAGCTTAAGCTTGCCAATGAATGAATTTAGCACATTCCAGTGATATATTACGGAAACAAGTAGAGTATTTAGCAAAAAAGCACACAGATGACTTCACTTATAGGTTGATATGAAATGTACCCCTAATTATAGAAAGACTCATAAATACAAACACATGGAAGATAAAACAAAACAGAGAGAACAGATGAGAAAACACAAGAAGGAGGTCTATAAAAATGTAGAGGAATTAGTGTGTATTTGTATGTAAACAGCGGTAACAAAAGAGCAAAGTTAATATGGTTTACAATTTATTTACACTGGGATATTAACACTTTTACTTAAAGTAAATGATCTAAACCACTGTTAAAAACAACAGCATACACACTATGTGTTTCCCTTTCTTGTGCAATGGTGTGACATCTTTAAAATAAACTCTAAAACAAGTTTTAATTGAACTCATAGTGACTGATGTGTGTGTGTGTGTGTGTGTGTAAAGCGGCCTCTCCTGGTTTACAGCCGGAGTATGAAATGAAGCAGCGGCCCATGTGACTTCTGACGTCTCAGCCCGAGTCCTGCTAAAAGGAATTTGAGGGAATGATCCTGCTGCTCACCGAGGGGATCCACGGTGGCTTCCTGACGTCCGCTTTAAGGAAGTCCCAAAGTTAGCCCTACTTTTTTGTGTGTGTGTGTGTATGTGTGTGTGTGTGTGTTGTATTCATCCAGAGAAGAAGGCTTTGACTCGTGATGTCTGGCGAGCAGGAGAGACAAGAGGTAAAGCTCACTGCGTTTCCTTTCGTGTACTAACTCTTTCTAACTTCCTCACGGTGTTGGGTTATATATTGTATGGGCTTGTGTGTTTGTTGCTCCTCATTGTGCAACTTTATGGCTGAGCTGCTCTAAAAAAAAACAAAAAACCACCATTTGGGGTCTGTAGCGGTGCAAAAAAAAGGAAAAAAAAAACTTTATTAAAGATGAGTTTTTTTTTGTCGTGTCCCGTCCTGCTGCTGTTGGAGGTTGAGCTTTACTTGCAGGAGTCTTTGCCCTGCAGTTACCACTCTTTACTGTTCACAGAGGAGCCTGTAATTATCTGCTTGCAAATGATTGTCCTCTACACGCTGAAATCAATTAAAATAAAGCTACATAAGCTCGTAATTGCCTCTTAACCAGAAAAAAAAAGGAAAGAAATACGCGTGTAATTCAGTGTGTTTGAGGGCACTCACGTTAAAAGTACAACTTCCTATAGAAATGTTACAGTGACACCATAGGGGGATTATAAATAGCAATACCATAAACAGGGACAACGTCATTTAAATGAGTACCACAGGCATTGCTCGCATGTTTATTGGCTTAGGCTGATAATTTCTCCACTGACTTAATATTTAATTAAACTGAAATACATCCAGATTCACGCTGTTACCTCCACTGTCTTATTACAGTCTCTTTTAAACAATAAAAAATAATCAATTTGCAGTGTGCTGCTATCACAAGAAAAAATCTAACTCCTATTACCTGTTGCTGCTGTGGGTCTTTTCCATTTTACTGTCTCCAACAGATAATCCAGCCTCCAAATAATTGATTTTTCTTAGCTCCTGGACTTCTCTATGGGAGGTGTGATATGAGAAAAAGTGAACTAATCCAAGTTTTGGTAATTAAAATGTTGTTATTTTATTGTCTACGTGATCTTGCACTAGTACGCAAACACAACAATGGATGCAAATGAAAACTCTTTAAAGGATTTCCATTAAATTAGCATCTTTGTGGGGTTCTATGGATGGCACTATTTGGGGCGCATGGTTGTTGTTTTTTTCTAAATAGTATTTTAGGGAAGGGCCATAATACTACATTTTTTGATCTGTGAGCACATCCATAATTCAGTTTTGTACTTAAAGTGAGCTCTTCTGTTGCTTTAAGAAACTTCATGTTAAAATATAATTGCTGGTTTGGTTACACTGTGCTTCATGCCCTCAAGATGGAGTGTAGAATTCCATAAGCTTTACTTCAGTTGTGGCTTTCTGCCGCTTCTCAAGTACACTTTTAAAAAATCAATTGACTTTTATGTAGTAGGCCTTTGCCAGAATATAAGGGTAGTTGACGTTACCTCTCTCTCAGTCCTCCTCTACCCCCCTCTCTCTGTGACTCATGTGGGTGTTGGGCTGAAATAGTTTGGTGTAGTTTTACATTCCTTATATAGCCTCTGAGGAGTGAGGAGAGGCTAGGGCTCGCCTGTGTCACAGACAGTGTCGGGGGGTAGGGTTTGCCAACAGAGAGAGAATCTGCTTGCCCCAGCTTACTGACTCTCTAGCTTTCTCCCAGGTTTTGGGCTATCAGCCGGCCCTTGAGGACGAGGTAGGTTTGCATGGTGGCTTCTTGGGTAGCTCGCTGTGGGTCAGGAAGGGCAGTGACACCTGGCAGGACTGAGGAGGAGGAGCAAGAGCTGTGTTAGGGGGTTGCAGGTACAGAGGTCAGTGGTACAGCCATAACTTGCAAGTAAGAGCAAGTGACATAGCCCTGCGTCTCAAGTTGCCATTGGTTCTTAAAATTACCTGGTTATTTAGTGACTTGTCATGTAGTGATGTGGGCTGTGGTGAAGCTGTTTCATGCTGTTTTCATGCTTTCACAGTTGTACAAATTGTGAAAAATATAAAAAAAATCAAGGCAAGTTTGTTCTTTGTGGGCCAGTGTTTCATTATAAAGTCATGGTTATTGTTGAATTAATAATGGAACTGTTGAATGTCGCTGCTGTTCTTATTGTCCAGTAGATTTATGGTGCTGATGTTTTCTGTGGAACTCATTTGCAGTGCAGTGTACTTCGTTGTTCTCTGAACTGGGCCTCTATATGAATACTCTCCTCCGATTAAGACACAAGGGATAGCAACGTATTAGTTTGTGTGTTGATTAATGTTGGAACGTTGTGTCCCAGCGGCAGCTCTGGTGGTCTGTCGTCGTATAGGTTATGCAAATAGCCTAATTCATATAGTTAAATCTGATTATTCCAACCAAAAGACACATTTAATTATTATAACATGGTTACTCTTATAATAGAACTTTTTCAAGATCTAATACTATTTACTCTGAAATAAACAATTTCAGTGTTTCTATATGGAATGTGTGCGTTTGTGTTGGAAACAAATGCAGGCAAACAGCAGCTCGGCTGCTTGGATGAAACAGAAAAGGATGTGTGGCCTCAAAAACCTTTTTCTAGGCTTCCTGACTAATTAAGACCGTTTCCTCCTTTTTCTTTCCCAAGGCTATGAACGTATACTCGGTAACCCTCAGCGGCCCAGCGCCTTGGGGCTTCAGGCTGCAGGGTGGCAAGGACTTCAGCATGCCCCTCACCGTGTCAAGGGTAAGAAACTGTTTGTCACTGGAGTCAGCTTCTGTAATTCTCTGCATCTGTGATCACTGAGGTCTTTGTACTCGTGTTGAAGATTTGCATCCTCTAAAGTAATTTATGTTCCTCTGAGCTTCTATATGAAACCTTTTGGTCTATTTATAAGATTCTGTTGGTGTTCAGTAGTCTTGTTCTCCACATGTGGTGCTCCTTTTCACATCACTAACATTATATGGTATATCCAGTCAGCCTTAACATCCAGTGTCTTTGCATGAATAGCATTAATTGGTCACAAGGGAATGCTGTCGTTTGTTTCTGTTTGCAGTGCTTTTAAGTCTCCATGTTAGGTCACTGCCTCTTCCCTGAATTAATTTTGAAATACTCAAATACTGTAAACTACTGTCGCTATTGAAGAGAGCAGCAACCACTTTCCAGGCCTTATAAGTGCAGTGCAGTGTTGATTTGCCTGACAAACAGACAGACTCTGACATGCAGCCACACACGCATGCGTGCACATAAAATCATTCCAGCATTGCTGCCAGCTATTGCGCACACAGATCTAGTATTCTATCATGCACTCATTCCCCCATTGACGTTGCTATATTGCTACCTTAGAGGCTGGGGTGATCTACAAATGTTAGACCAGATTTCCATTTATTAAATCATCAATTCTGTTCAAAATGTGCCCTTTCCTATTTTAGAGATAATTAGGAGTTAATGGGTAATTATGTGGGTCAGGCCTTAGTCTCACAAGGTTATCCCACTTAGTCTTTCAAACACTTTCAATTCTTGATTTCTTTGTAGTTGCCAAAAAGTCAGTTATAATGTAAAATTAAGATATAAAGCTGCAAACAAATGATGCGCCATTAAATGTTACTTTGACTAGTATGTGTGTTCGCATCTCATAGAGATGTATGTGTGTGTGCATAGAGCTGACGTAATCCTGTGGTGAGGGCAGCAGCTATCACCAGCCTTGTCAGTACATGTCTTGTATCTGCTCTGTTCTCTGGAAGGCCTCGCAGTCAGAAACACAATGTTCCCCTTGGATTTATGACAAGAAACATTTTCTTCTACCCATAAAAGACCAAACGGATGTAAAAAAAAAACAACCTTATTTGACGACTGGCCCAAAACAAAACAGGGATTTTTGGTGAGGTATTGGAGTATACTTTGGGGCATTTCAGTCTAGACTGGCAAGGTGTGCTGCAGGGTGAATGTGGGTGTGCCCTCAATTGTAGTTGAGTAATCTTAATCAGCCAGTGCAGGAGGCAAGTTTTTCTGCAATCCAGGTACATTACACATGCTGATTATTTTCCTGGCTGACAGAAATGTGGCTTGCCCAGATCAGTCCAAGCTGCTCTGTGTAAAATTGATAATGGCTCCCATTCTGAAAAAGAACAGCACTGCTAAGATTGAAACCTTAACGACTGGTCAGTGGCTAATATCTTTGTGGCTTGTTCCAGCAGTCCACCAGGCCTCTGGGTACAGGAGCTATAAAGATGTGACAGGTTTTCTCTCTTTAACTCTGTGGGACTGTTGGCTGTCCTCGCGATTGTCATAAAAGACTGGACAGTGAATCACACGGTCGCAAAGGATGAAAACAACCCAACAAGGGGATGTAAACCTCAAAGATATACAGTATCCCTTAGTAACAGGAAGAAAAGTCAGGCCTGCACTCAGCGGGCTTACATTGGATGAATTTAGTGGGTGGTCTTTCTTTACTGGCTTTTAGCCGATGAGATAAGTATCTTGATCCAGACAGTTGGTGAAAAGCGATTACACAATGAAGAACATGTGGAGTGACAGGAGAAAAGGCTCAGTTAAATTGCTGTAAGGCAAAGAGATTGCAAGGGATAACTCCTTAAAAGATCAGTGCATTGAAGTGTTTGTCATTGTTGGATAACAATTAGTGTTGTTGAGACTGGATTTATTTAGAGCTCATAGTCATTTAGTTAATTAGAGTTTGGTCTTACTGTGGCAGATTGTGACAACATCAATCACTTACCCTGTATTTGTTGTACTGTAAACCAGGATTCTGATAATCTTTGTATTGATTTGGAAAGTTGTGGCTCTGTAGCTTGTTACCTCCTGTGTGTGAGTTGCTATATAGGTTTTCATGCTCTATGAAAGCGCTTGTTTCCTTCCTCCTCTGTCTGCGACCCTGGAAAGCTATGCTTTCTCAGCATTCCTGGGATTTTTCTCATATCCACCCAGTCGCTGCCAACAGACAATCCTCTTGTCTCCTTTCTCTGTCTAATATGTCTTCTACACTCACTTTTCTCGTGCATATGATGGACTCCCCCATTCTCATTGGAATACTTTAACAGTGAGATCAGAGGAAAGCAAACCATGCCAAGACAAACTGTTAAGGCGCTGTGAAAGGAAAAAGTAACTATTTGACCTTAGCATAACATGTACACACCCATTTATCATCTGAAAAAATATGTACATAACTTTTAGTTGGCTCTTTTTAATAGCAATATCCCACTTTTAGTTTTCCTAGCATTTTGTTCGTAGATGCACAAACATTTCTTACCAGTAAAGAAATTGTTCTCTTGTCCTCTCACCATCCCATTTAGTAAAAACAAAGGAAAAGGAAAATGAGAAAGTGATGCCTTTCTCTGTTTATCTAAAATGTCATTATACCCCTTTCATTCTGACACAGTCATACTGTGCACAGCCACAGCATTTTCTGTCAGTAGACGTGGGTTCTTTACCCTCCTCCCAGCTGGGGATGAACATGGGTTGGGTGCTGCTTGGCACTGGTGAGCTGACATTTCTATTATAGGGTTGGGAATTTAATGTTACTGGTATTCATATGGTATTTAAAAGATCAGTGTGTAAGATTTAAGGGGATCTACTGGCAGAAAATGGCAGAAATGGAATATAATATTCACAGGCATGTTTTCATTAGTGTATAATCACTTGAAAATAAGAATTGTTGTGTTATTGTTACCTTAGAATGAGCCATTTTATATGTACAGAGGGAGTGGGTCCTCTTCTGTGGAGTCCACCATGTTGCACCACCATGTTTCTACAGAAGCACAGAATGGACAAACAGTGGCTCTAGATAGTTCTCCGTAGGTTCTCCTACACGTTCAGTTGGAGAGGGTGAGGTGAGCAGTATTCAGTTTGTTGCAATCTGCAGTCTCACAGCTAGAAACTACTAAATCCTACACACTAGACCTTTTTTAATGGGTACTCCAGCAATTTAAGTATTGTACTTCCCTAAAGTTTGTGGGCTTACCAGAAAACACTGGAAACACTGGATCCTGCATTTCCCATAATGCAGTTGGCATCATCAGGGTGTTTTAGTCATACTTTTAAAGCCACAGGAGACATTATACAAATGTTTTAACAGAATAGGAATATGAAGTATGGCTATCCATGACTAGTAAACAGAGCGTTGCCCCTTCTTAACCATTAGCCTTATGTGGTAGTCATGTAATGTAAGTCTGTGGTCTTGCAGTGTTTCTTCTACAGTTGTTAACTCAAGTCTTTGTGAACGCTAAAGGATTATCATATGAGACAGCCGTCTCATATGAATGGGTCAAACAACGGATAAATGTCCAGTGGGCTCCTCCTATGAAAACTGATCTCTGAAAATCTTGAGTCAGTTGAGTAGGTCGATCTTTTCCAGAAACCGCCTACTGTGTCTCTATCCGTTTCTAACCAACCTTTGTGCCAACTTTTTATCACAAACTTTCCTGGACTTCTGTGACCTTGAAAAGACGGAGGTCTACTAATGTAAAATTATATCTCTCTCCACATGTCTGCCCCAACATCCTGTTTGAGCAGGAAAGGCATAAAATGTAGGAAGCAAGATGTCGTCGTAACACTGCTTGATTGCCGCTTCAATTGAGTCTACCCCAGTCTGGGGCAGCGCTACAACTCGCCCGAGGAGTTCCTCCATATATCTGCCCCAGATCTCGTGCCATTGCGATTCCATAAACATTATGATGCCATAACCGAGCCTCCTGAGCACCATCTGGTTTCTATCGACAGACACATGCCACACCGCTGAAATCAAACGTTCAGAGGAAATCACAGATGATGTCAAGTCAATAAGCAAGTGGGGAGATTTGTGAACGTCTCCACCACCGCAGCTGGATGTGTCATCAAGTCTTATATTCCTGTTTCTCTGTGTGTGAGTGTCTCTGTCTGACATGTAGACCATCTGTTGCTTTATCACTTGTATACTCCTAAACACTCCCCCCTCTCTCTCCTCTCCTGTCTCTCTCATCCACCTGCCTCTTCTCGTCTTCGCCGCGCCACGGCGTCCTTCGAATCGTCTTCTCTCCGGGTCGTTCTCTCTCTCCCCGCCAGCGCGACGCACGCGATTCACTCGCCGGCCCCGGCGCCCACACTCACACTCACATCACCCTTCACACACACAAACACACAAACTCAGGGAAAAGAGGCCTTGTTAGAGGGGTGGATTAATAATTCAGTGCTTACTGATGGATAGCCCACAGGGGGCATTTCTTGTGTGGCTGGTTAGATGTGAGTGTCTTATGTTGTGATCAGTGCAGCAGTGTTTTAAGGTGAGTTAATGCTAGGTGTTCCACTGCAGTCATTATGGGGGGAACCACATACTTGCAGGTTTGGTTTTCCATTTCTCAGAGGGATATTTATGGCTTTGCATCAGCTGTGCCGTGTGAGTGATGTAAGGACAGACTGTCTCTCGGCCCCCAAATAGCCGTGGAAAGAATAAAAGTGATCTGGTGCAGAGTTACACGTCCAGTATATCCACAGCCGTAGATAAACTTTAGTGCATTATTAGTTTAACCATAAACCAGAGTAGCCATCCCAGAGCGAGTATGAGGCCATGCCTCACCTATAGGGTCAGTCAAGGAAAGCACTTCAAAGGTGAATTCAAGACGTCGCATTTTGAAAGGTTGGCTAATGCTTTGAAATTAGATAGCATACCAAAACAGCTCTGCTGCGGTGCTCTGCCAAAAAGCCTTGAAACAGGCTTCTAACTGTAAGGCTAACCCTGTAGTTGTGAATACCTTCCGTTGCACCAACGTCATTAGTGTGAAGTGAGTTACAATCATATTTGTGCAAAATCACATATGACAGGATGAATCTGCTTCTCGTTTGTTACACTGTCAGAGGAATTTTCTCTCATCTCTGTGGTATCGCTGCAAGTGGATGTTATCATACATCATGTTAGTATCCCTGGTTGTTATGAGGTACAGTGCAGTGTGTTGCATTCAGGAACATGTTTTCCACTGTCCTTCACCGTATTGACAAACTGCTGGGGGGGTATTGGGTTTCCACCACCCCCTATCAACCAAAGGTCTGAGCGCAGCAACTTTAACTGCTGCCTTCTCAAGTGAGGGAGCAGCTGCACTCTGAACCTGAGCCAGGAGCACAGGTGTCTGTGTCCATCAGTAACTTAGCTCACTCAGACAGACATGCACGTATACAACCTACAATCTTAATGGCTTCATATTCTCACATATTCTCCTCCTTTATTTTTTATTTTTTTTTATCTCATCTTATATTTAGAGGTTAGCCACATAGGTCAGATCTTCAGTAATGGTTTGTAATTTTGTAGTACACGCAGATGGGTGAAAAATTGAAGGAAAACCAACATAAAATGTCTGAGTAAGTTGTAGACCGCCACGAGCCTCCAGAACAGCTGTATACAAAGGAGCAGTGACCTTGGTATAGATTCTCCATGTCTCTGAAACTGTTTTGATGAATGATTTTCATCATTTTCACATTCATTAAACCAATCATTGACCCCTTGTGCTCTGCTTGGGAACATTTGCATTCATTCTTTTCTTGTGTCCCTCACTTATTCAGTTTTAATTCTTCACAATTTTTTTAGAATAACTTCAGCTCTGTCATAGACCAAAAGTCCAAACCCATGTCAGGGTTGGCTTGAAATAGCTTTTATTACTCAATGTTATTCTCATAAACAGCTTTTTTTATTCTTCGTGAAAACACAACAAAACGTTAAAGAGCATTACATAAAAAGACACTTAGCAATTAATTAGTATGTATTTTTCTTTGTCACCATGTGAACAGGAAAAATGGCTGCTGTGATGCAGAAGCTAATTAGGATCTTAATAAACAAACTAACAAACACACCGTGATTGGATTTCTGTTCATCTTTTACGCTGCATGGGTAGCTACTACTGTACTGGCTAGTAACACTTTAACACCTCTGACTTTTAAAGTAAATTAATTAGGCTCATGAGAAATGTTGTTAAACACTAACAAGATCATTTTGGTAAAAAGAAAAAAGTGGTGCTCAAATTTTACTATGAATTATAAGTGACAGTGGCTCTCTTTAGTGACTTTAGTGGCATCAAACCAGACTGTGCCCCTTTTTCAGAATATGTCACTTATGTCATAGTGGTTTTTCCCCCAGTGTAAAACTTTTAAGTTCTTTCCAAAGTGGAGAAATTATTTCTTCCCTAACCCCTTTTAATTGCTTCCAGTGAGTGCAAATCAAAGGCAATTAAAGTGAAGTTTGAACTTGGCTGTAAAATAACTGTAGCTAGGATTGCCTCAAAGGAATGCATTTCTTTCTATTTTTAGCTTTTGCCATGTTTTGATTCAAGGCAGGATTTAACTTTGTTGTCTTTGTGGGATGCGTACTACTTTTTCAGCCCGAGCTGTCATCGGTTTACAGAGCATACCTCCCTGCTCGCGCAAGTGTTTATGTTTAATGTGCAGAATCAAAGCGCCAAGTGTGATAGCTTAGCTGAACATGGCGGAACACTATTGATTGAACCGCAGAGTCCTGTGAGCTTTTGATGAGCTAACATTTGCAGGGATCCATGACATCAGAGAGTAATCCTAATAGGTTTTTTGCCAGAAATCCTGGCACTAGCTGACTTATCTGATGCTGAACACTTTGTACTCCAGTTATCTGAAAATTTGACACAAGTCTCGAGTTTCATTAAGCCGCACGGGCAAGCTGACTAAGCCCTTACTAAACATGCTTTGGCAACTCTGCCATCTCCTCTAGAACCACTAATATCCAGTATAGTCTACGTACATTTAGAAAACCATTACGACCTATATAGACTATGACAACTTCTTCCTGTTTGTAACAAGACTCCAGCTGTTTGCTCTGACTCAATATGTCTGCAGTCTGAGTGACAGCCCCGAGAGGATGATGTCATTCTTTTGTCAGTGAAACTGGCCAGTCACTTACCTGTGTGAATGGAAAAAGTAGATGGGGCTGTTCCAGTAAATGATGTGATTATTTGTAACATATGGTTCCTGTCTGCAGCTTTCAAGAGTTTCCTTCATAGTCTCAGGTCACATCTGCAGTAAATCACATGGTGATGACTGATGACATCATGATGACCTATAATGCCTGTTCCCGATAGTGTTGAGTGAAATATCTCGGCTGGCTTGTCAGACCCAGACACACAGGCTCCCTGAGTTGATCATTAAGTGTTGTTAACAGACATTGCAGCAAAGTCAACTAAACATGACTTTTTGTGTGTTTAGATTTCCAGCATTTTGCTTTGAACTGCTGATTATATATGAGATAATGGTTCTTTTTTTCACAGTAAATTTGTTTTTCTTCTTGAGACATGATCTGCCGACAAATTCATCTAATTAGATGAATACAAATATTGCAGAATTGACAGATTAAGTCATAACGTTTATGTTTTTCGCCCATTAAGGGATCATTGGCTGTGAGATTTTATAGTTTCCATTGGTGCCTGCCCCTCATTTTTCTATCCCCATAACTGTCATCTCCTGAGAAAACCCTGTCCTCACGTACCTCTAACTGCTTTCTGTTTCCGTGTTTTCTTTCTTACAGCTGACCCCGGGCGGGAAGGCAGCTCAGGCTGGTGTCGGGGTGGGAGACTGGGTGGTGTCCATCGATGACGCTAACGCAGAGGACATGACCCATGTGGAGGCACAAAACAAGATCAGAGCAGCAACAGACTCCCTCACCCTCACCCTCAGCAAGTAAGTCATCTGGCAATGCATGATGCAACAGCAACACTACATGATCACTCACCCCCCCATTTTATCTCGGTCAAACACAGCAGCATAAATCACCACAAAACGTGCACCCTCCTTCATTCTTTTGGAGAGATAAAATACCTTAATGTCCTTGAAATTTGGCTCCACATGACAGATAGTTGCAAAACACATTTGTATTGAAGTTATCATCACACGCACACATTTCATTTCTCCTTTCACTTAAATTCATTTTTAGGGTAAGACTTGGGCTTGAATTTAATTTTAGTCATAAGTCAGAGCCTCACCATTACTTTCTGTCAAAAAAAGTAATTATCTCTGCCAGGGAGGTTTTCATTCCTATCTTCCTCGTTGTCTATTACAGTAGATTTTTTTTTTATTCAATAGGTTTTGGTGAAAAGTTAGTCTATAAGCCAAAAAAGAGCTAATTAGGTTTTGGTACAGATATCACTACCATATGGTAATTTATAAAGCACTTTATGTTGTTGCTCATCAGTCCTCAACTGTGAGGGTTAGAAGAAAAATAATTTTTACGGGATTCCTGGTCTAACCTGTTTGCATAAAAGTGTGCCAAATTTCCCCATACATTAATGTATGTAGCATATTTAGGTGGTCGGTTCTTAGATTTTTCTATTTATCCTATGCTGTTTTCTTAAAAAATGTTTGCTAAAGTCTGGCTGGCATGGCCTAGTAGAAACAAATTTCAAACGTATCAGTGCATTGTGCAATCACAACCACATTCATGAGTGTAACAGCAGCATAACAGATTTCAGTTGCTATTACTTAGCATTCATGAGTCTGACCTGCTTCAAACTTTGCACAATTAAACCTTGTACGAAGCAAATTTTCCCAGGATTTAGATATTCTCCAAAACTCTGCATTATCACCAATCGATATATGTACTTTGAAGTGCAGGTTAAACACACCTGAACAGTATTCATTTATGAAAGTAACAAGAGGATTGTGCAGTATTGGAGGTGTGTGCTCTCTGAATTTTTTCTATCTTAATATTACAGGAATAATCTGTCTTTTATTATCCTAAAGCAGCAAGAGCAGGGATGATTAGTCTCCATTTAGCAGCGGATATGCATGCCAAGCAGATACACTGGCCTTTGTTCGGTTGAAATAAACCATTTTCAGAGGAGCCATGGGTACCTTACGTTATGCCTCAGCTTTGTAATGAAATTAGAGCAACTCTTTCTTCAGATTAAAACACTTTGTTGTTCAGTGTGAGCCAGGAACATCAATGTCTTTCATTTTGCTAGAGTTATTTTAATTAGCACTGGATAACCTTCATACAGGCAGGCACTCATACCTGCTCACATAACTCCTGCCAGAAATTCCTGACTGATAAAGTATGTCTGTAGAGTACAAGCCAAAATGTTTCATCAGGAGCTTAATTATAAGAAAAAGGTTTCCCTCCCAAAAAAAAGGTGGATGTAACAATTTAAGAGCTCAAAGCCTTCAGAAAATGAGAAGGTGCAGACGTGTTAAGTAATAAAGATGAGCCTTGCAGCAGTCATGGGACTCGTTTTGATTTTGTGATACTCGTAGCTAAAGAGGTTGTGATCACAGCTGTAACACGGATATTTTCACATCCAGTTCATTTTGTTATTGCCTGCCAAGAGATTCAGCTGTTACATTCTGACAAACCTTTTTTGTTCACTGTTTATTGAGAGTCAGAACAGCCGCAGGTCGTTTATGACTTTCCGGAAGAAAACAGCCAGAACATAAACTAATAACTTTCCAGAAGAAAATTGCCAGAACATGAACTAATACACTTTCCAGAAGAAAATTGCCAGAACATAAACTAATACACTTTCCAGAAGAAAACAGCCAGAACTTATTATTATTATTATTATTATTATTATTATTATTATTATTACTAATAGTTAGGGTTAGATGTAGAGATCATGGTGGATATGTGCTGCATATTGTTTATCATATGCCTGTCTCTGCAGATATCACTAAATCCAATTGGCCCTACCAGTCTATGTGTTCCTGCCAAACATTAGCCAGTTCTCAAATGTGAAAATGTTATGCTTTTTATTGTTATACATGATTTAAGACTTTGGGTTTTGGACTGTTAGTTAGACAAAACAAGACAATTGAAGGCCTCGCCTTGGGCGGTGGGAAATTATAAGGGCATTTCCCAGATGTTTCTGCCATTTTAGAAGCAAAACAATTAATTGAGAAAGTAATGGGCACATTAATCTGTAATGGAGATTATTGTTATTTGCAACCCTAAAACAAAACCAATGTTGAACACAACAGATAATGGTGGTGTTGGCATCAATTCTAAGACATGAGGAAAGGAAACAAAATACTAAAATACAGAAGAGTGAGAGAGAGAGTAGAATAAATAAGATGGGTGGGTGGAGGTAGAGCAGAGTACAGAGAATGTTAAACTTAGGGGGATCAAAGGCAGATTTTTGAGGTGGGAGTAAGATGCCAAAGAGATATTATAAAAGATCAGGCTCTTTACCAGCAAAGCGCTGCAATCCCTGTTTTCCATACAACCAACAAGGCACATTGCTGATGTTGCATGTATTATTTTTTCCTGCAGAAAGAGGTCACGCTACACTTCGACCTACTAAATGCCTTAAAAGGAGTGTGAGGGAGAGAGACTCATGGGTTGGAGTTTCAGAGTGAGAAGGGAAAGGAAAGGAAGAATTAGAAAAGAGACAGTGAGATTCTTGTTGGCCTCTGTGGTAACGGGATAATAATCAAGAAAAGTGAAGTCATGCTCTCAGCAGAGGGATGGATGAGGGTTAGTCAGTTATCATACATGAGCCAGATGTGCCCCCTTCTGCCCTGTCTGAAAGTTTGCTGTGGTCATTTCCCTTTCGGTCTATGTTTTATCCCATTCAGTGGTGGTTTGGTTTATTTTCTTATGAGAATTTCCCATGTGAAGAAGATGAAATTAGGGCGTTGGTTTGTGGTATGTGTTGGGGATTATTACACATCATAACTAACTGTGACTTTGTGAGTGAAATCTTGTTTAAAACATTCATTTCAAAACAAGTTATAAGTCTGTTTAATGAAAGAATGAACGGTTTTCTTCTTTCACCTTTATCTCATAGGGAGTGGTGTAATGTTTTGATAGACCTGTAATAAGCCAGCATGTTTACTTAACACCAGCCTTACTTTTTCTGCGCCCTGTGCCGTCTCTATTTCTCTTCTCCTTGTGGAGTCCAGCTATTGTAAATATTTCACATTCTTTCACTCTTTTTTTCTTTTTACCCATGACTCCCTTCCCATGAATCCCTATTCTCCTCTCTTCATCTCACCCTCTCCCATTGTTATTATATTGTAAGACAAGCAAATATTGTTTTTCTGAAACACTTCTCGGAGAGGAGCTATTGTCAGTTTTATTTATCCGTATCTTGGCTGCCGTCCACAGTTTCTTTTATGTTGAGAGAGGAGGACAGCCGCACGGCGATGAGATATGGTCTATTGTTTGGTTTAGTGCCTCATTTTGTTCAACACCAATGATCATCTCCTGTCTATTTTATGGTAAGGTTTAGGCTTCACCCGGAGCCTTTTTATAGGGAGTGGAATCAAAACAATATGGGCAATAGATTTTCGACTTCAGAGAAAGGCGATTGTGTTTCATCTACAGGGACACACTAGGTCCACATTTCAGTGCTCACTGTCAGTGAGGGTTGCCTAGAGGGTTGCGGTTAGAGTATATCAGTAACGTGTGCAAAGTTGATTATATTATCAGGGGAGATTTTTTTTTTTGTGATGAAATTTACTGACTTTATCTAACATCAGCCAGCAAGGCGAGCATGCACTGGCTCAAATAAGTGACCCATGAAATGAGGCAGGAAATGATCTCAGAGTGGATATTCAGTTTGAGCGCAGGTCAAACGTGGACCAAGCAAACTTATTCCATGAAACAGTGACTTAATCATCTCCACATTTGTTCGTTTAAGTCTGCCAAAGTATTTACAGCACACAGCAGCGTCATACACATTCCTTATATCCCTGTTTTTAAGCGTGACTCATGAAGTGTGGGTTAAGGCGAGCTGAAGCACTATGAATGTCACATTGATTTCTCTTCCCAGAAGTGTGACACGCACAGACATGTCAGTATGCCTTCCCTTCGTTCCTCTCTCTGTATCTATACAGCCCTGTTGTCATCCTGTCTTTACCATCGCCCAATCAGTAGTTGAGCAGGCAATGGCATGAGCAATTATTCATTTCTCATTGTCACAGGAAGCGCTGTCTATTGTTTTGTGTGTGTGACTGTAGCCTGAAACACTGCAAAGCAGGTTCATTCTTGCTTGTAGCTTTGTGTAGCATGCAAACCTTGGTCAGGGGGTGGTAGTGGTTTGTGTTTAGCTATTTTAAGAGCCAAAGGTGGATGCCTCCATGTTTAATGTGTAAAGATATTTAAATGAACCGTCTGCTGTGCTGCTCCATTCAGCGAAGGCACCACAGTGATGTGAATCCTGGGATTAGAGTTAAGAAGTGTACAGCACTGTGGCACTTGCAGTATTCTTAGCTATGTGGGTGAATCTGAATCTCAGCCCAAAACTATGTAAAAAGTAGGGAGTTTGTTGGTGTTTTAAAATCCCACCACAGAGAAAACTTCAGCGTTTTTACGACCTGCTTCTTTTCTCCCATCATCTCTATCGCTTGGAACATCTTCACTTATAAGCTTAATTGTTGAGATATGGGTGTGAGGGGACTCCTGAGACAACATTACAGGAGATTGCATGTGGCATTTCAAACACAAGCAAACAAGTCCAGTTTAACCAAATGTCTGAACTCAACTCAGCTCAGCTTTATTTGTATAGCACCTTTCATACAAACATGCAGCCCCAAGTGCTTCACACAGCAAATTGAAACAACACATAAAAACACAATGAACAACCATAAATAAAATTGTGCTACGTTAACATATGAAAACAAAGGTTATAGACAAACTGTCAGTTGTAAACATCCTCAATCCAACAGTAGAATTTGTAGGGGTGTTTCTTGGTTCATGTAGTTTTATGATGCATTGGATTATAATAAACGTTTTGAGTGCGTTCTTTTATTTCTTCAACTCCCTGTTGACAAATGGCCAAAACTACCGCAATAAGTCTTGTAAGAAAAAAAAAACTATTTCCCTGTAACTTATAACTGGGATCAGTCATTAGTCTTTATGCAATATGAGCTTGATATTGAACCTTGAGGTAAACTGGTACCTGTGTAATCAGAATTGGTTTAGTTTTTATTCTTTGACTGAAACATTGCTGAAAATGTTTTCTTAAATTTGTAACGGTGAGTTTATTGTAAGTATCTACTAATAACTGTCCTTGTATCTTCTGTTCACAGAGCTTTCAAAGCGGGTGGAGACCAGAAGGTAAGACAATATTTTTCTGACACATTGAGCTCACCTCTGTGTGAACACTTGGCGTTGGCATGGTCTGCTTCTGGACTACAGTGACACTGATTGAATTTGAAACTTTCTTTAATCGTGGCTCACAATTGGCCTCAACAGTGTGTTATGTCACTTTGTGTTTAAAATCACCTGAGTCACCTGTCAAGCTCACACAGAATCCTGCACTGTACATTAGCAAAGCATCAGTGAGTCGCTAAATGAGTTGTTTGCTGGATGGAGTGCTGTGAATATTGCTTTTGGAATTTTTCCTGTGGTTCATTTTGTGATGCCTTGCACAATCCCTGATACCAGAGTAACACTGATACATTTAGTTTCACTGTCAAAGCACTTGAGAGCTACTTAGTGATTACAGTTAGAATAGTACAATGGTGTCATGAACTGCTTTGTGCTGCACGCTGTTTTCAGTAAAGCAGCTGGAAGAAACGTTAATGCTTACACAAAGTCAACGTTCCTTTTTAGTAGGTGTTCTTTTGCAGTCTGTGCATAATGCTCAGTGAGAAATCTCATTAGCGAGACATGTCAGTCAGATATGACAATTTTTCACTTGGAGCATTTTCATTTTACCAGCAGTAGCAGATTACTTTGGCCAGTCTGTGGAAGACTGCCAACACAAATAAAATAGCTGTGTTCACACTTCTTAAGCACTTCTTCCGTGTGCAGAGAAAAGCGGGCAGGCTTTGACAGAGCTGCTCCTGCAGCCTGCAGTAATCATTTTCTATGAGAAAATATTGGCCTGCACTGAAAGCTTTCTTAACATAAAGCTTGGGATTGTGCAACAGCAGAAAGAACTTTTTCTGTGTCAAAAATGTAACTGCATGTTGTGCGCTGTGCTGCATTGTCTCCCTCTCCCTCACCCTCATAGGACCCACTTGCTCCGGCTTCTGTTCAGCCAAAGTACTCCTTTGCCCCCAGCACAACAATTAACAAGATGGCGAGGCCATTTACACCAGGTGGTGGTAGTGCCAACTCAGGACCTGCTATTAAACCTGTGGCCTACTCGCCTAAACTTAACACTCCACGCTCACAGGGCCGTGCCAGCATGCAGCAGCCACAGAATGGGTAGGTGGATAAATAAACACAATTACCTTTGCAACCACAATGTGACTAATGTGGTTTCACTGGTAATTTTGATGTCTCATTATTCTGGTTTTAAAATAACTCCTTCAGGATGTCTGCATAATGTTAGGAATTTAGTCAGTATGTTGCCAAAATGATGTCTGATTTTAAGAAACATTCCAGAAAAAAACACATGCTGACTCACTGCTGAGATCAACTTAAATACTATTTTAATATTTTAACAAACAAGATGTCAAGTACGCGATTACTTTTTTATAAACTTGTGCTAATGCTAAGCTGTGTCATGATATACTCTGGCTACAGAATAATTTAGGGGAAAAAGGAGGAGGTTGTCAGCTTTTGTCAAAACAGACCCAAATGATGTCGGCCTTTATCATTCAGATGAAAGCAAACACTTCATAGCAGGGAATATTTAGCTGACATATGCAATTCAAGACAGCTTCCTCCAGCTGAAAGACCTCTACAGTGGAAATGGAACAACAACAGTTTTACAGAGTTTAGTGAAGGATGTGTCAATAATCAGTTAGTTTTATGACCTTGTAAAATCTTTTTAGTGTTTTCTGTGGTTGTGTTTAGCCACTGTAGAAGTTATGATTTATTTTTTATATATAGATTTATTTTTATTCCTATCATCCTCACTGTATTTGTGATTATGTCCATGTGTGTAGAAATGGAAAATAGTAAGACTTTTAAGTTTAGTAAGAATGTGTCACACAAAATACAACCGACACACAGAGGCAAAATAATTCACCTTTTACAGAAGTGATTTGATTTGAAAAGTGTTACTGACTGACTGTGATTACTACTTGTATATATAATCATTCACAAATGGTTGAAAGGAAGGTCAATGAAAATACTTTTCAAAACTTTACTCTGCACTAAACTTTGAACTAAATTGTATTTCTTAGCTTTTAGAAGCTGCGAAACTGCACTCGCTTTGTCACTTTGTAGACTTTCTAAATCAGACAAAAGTCCTCCGGTTTCACATTGAATTACAACTCTATTTGCGTTATGCTTAAAAATAATTTTATTTGGTGGTGATGTCACCAGAAACTAGAAATTTTATTTTTACACAAGTTCCATGATTCTCTCCGCATTTACCGCACTGCAGAAATTATAGGGCCGTGCAGCTAAACAGCCAGTTATCTGTCACATAAGAGTACTAATGATGGAAAGTCTTGGACACTGTGCAACTGTGCTAACCCTTTTTAATCTTTTTAACCAACAAAATTTATGAGTAAAATACATTTTATGGGCCAAAAGTTAAAATAAGGTCTTACCAGCTCTTAGATGGGGCCCCTTCTCATATGTTGACTCATATTTGTATCAGTTGTGTTGGGAAAGTGAATCTTCTCTCCTTAAAAAACTTCATTCAGTTTATCTTCTGATCTTTTGGTTGTAAATTCTTCAACCCCTCCAACCTCCCCATGATAACTTGGTTTCAAAGCTGCCGTCAGCTCGACTGTGTATTAAAATGAAGTTAACATGGGCACCCTAGTAGCTCACCTGGTAGGCTTTCAGTCCTTAATGCAGCAGCCTGGGTTCTAGTCAAGCCTGGGCCCTTTGCTGCCTGTCTCTCTCCAGCTGTCATTATAAAATAGAGCCGCAATTCAAAAGCGATAATGTAAAAAAAGACTTTCCTGTGACAAAACTCTCTCTCCCACAATTACATCAAATAAATGTCAAAATTCTTCAGTCTTTATTTTACGGTTCAGTTTTTAGATTTTACAAGGATTCCAGAAATGGATAAAATAACGCATTTTTAATCATCCTGGAAGTGGCAGTGTAGCATGAAATGGTCTTGAATCATAGACCAGTCTGGTTCCTGTAATTTGGGTCATGCTAGTGGCCTGACTGCAGCCATTGGTGAGACGTGGTCTGTTGCTGTATTTAGCCTCACTCATGAATTGTGCTGCGTTCTCACACAGCTTTTACTGCCCCGGTGCTGGATTATTTAAGCAGCCTTGCTCGCTTACTCCAGAGAGGGCTCACGTGGTTGTGAAGTTTCTCTGCAGATGGTGGAAACGCATTCCTGCAGCCATCTTTAAGAAGACTGGAGAGCCTAATTATAACCGTCAGCCCACTGTTGATGAAGACATTGTTGGATGTCTCCAGACGGCAAACAGTTCGATGCAAACAGCACATGTCTAATGTGTCCAGGCCTGCCTTATTGAAACAGGTTTTGTGTGATCTTGTTTGTTCACAGCTTACTGTGACATCATGATGAGTCACTGCTGTGGCATTTATTGTTGTTTACAGAGTATCAAAGGATCAATTAGAATAACTGTGATGGCAAATCAGGCAATGGCGCTTTTCTGGCAAATTCTCCAGCCATTTACACAACTCTAAAAGCATTTGTGCACATGGATGAGAGGCACGTTGGGCAAAGGATTTGTGCCAAATAGACTGAGTCATTTTGGGTCACGGTAACAATAGATGATTTGACAGACAAACAATGCCGTCTTTGTCTCACAGAGCCTGCTGACAATAACAGCATGTCTCATGTCACTTCTTGCATGTTTTCTGCATCCTGTAGTAATTTTGCTCTTGCGTTGTGTAAAACCTCTGTCATGTATTGACATTTTCTTGTTTTTCTTCTGTTTAACTCAAAGCTGAACTCTGACCTCTCCCTCATTTTGTGTTTCCCTCTTTTTATTTTAACGCTGCAGATGGAAAGTCTTGACAAGTTAGTATATTTATTTTTTTCATTCACAGTCCAGAACAAAATGTTTGCTTGTTTGCCTTTTAAATTGCCATTCACACTAAATGATTCCTGTCCTTTATGTACAGTGGTTCACAACCTTTTTGACTTGTGACTTCTTAAAACAAAGCATTGTGTGCTTGCAACCCCTCTTAACTTAAAATTATTCAATAAAGGGATTATGTTGGAACAAAGATTATATAACCTAATGTATCTGAACAGTTGTTTCTGTTTTGCTAACCTGTTAGTTGACCGTCAGTTTGAGAACCACTGCTCTATTACAATTCATGTGGCTATTCATTAGGACAAAACAATCACTTCTAAAAGTATTTACTCATCAAAATCTCTTACTATTTATTGAGTTCTCCTCTATCTTCTGTCTTTTCTCTGTAAACTTCTTACAATTTGTCTTCATCTTATCTTTGGTCTATTCCACAGGGGTGAAGCAACTTACTATGATCTGTACCAACAATCAAAGTAAGGGGCAGCTGCATGTAGGCTGGTTTGTCAGCTTGTTGGTTAATACGGCCACGCTAGATATGACAGGAGGGATGAGCTGATTCAAAAATTGGGTTTATAGAACAGAGATGGAACAGACAAACATGCCACTTCATTAGTAACCATTCCTCTTTCATCCTCTACTTGCTTTTTGATAAATGCATGCCAGAATTGGCCCGAGCAACTGTGCTGAAATGATATGTGTTGGAAATGAAAAGCATTTTTTGTGCCGCCTGAGTTGTTTATCAAATTAAAAGCTTTAATATGTTGTAAAATCTTTCCAGAAATGAGGCCAGGTACTCTAGTCTGACAGTTTTTTTCCCTTTGACTCTAATGAATGTTATAAATACAATCTCTGATGTGGTAATGTCCATTTATGAGAGTCTATAGTGTACCCATGAGAAATCGTAGTAATGGGTATCCATTAGCTCGCTTAATGCGTGACCGTGATGCTGAGCATTAAGTGTTGCATGATCTGTTCAGGGTGTCCTCTATTTTCAAGGTCACCTGATTAGCTAGGTTGGTGTGAGTAGGAAGTTCCCTATGTGGGATTGTGTTAACCTGCACCTGCCGTGTGCTGCTGCTGGGTGTTTGTGCAGGCACGGCCTCAGGGTGGAGAACCTGCCCTGTTTTATCCCCAACGACCGCAGCAAGAAGAGGCTGATCCAGGACACTGAGGACTGGCAGCCCCGCACCGGCACCACCCAGTCCCGCTCCTTCCGCATCCTGGCCCAGCTTACAGGCACCGACTTCAGTAAGTCGGGGACCAGGCCTGGCATACTCAGTAGTAGAATGAGACAGAGAGTGATGGGTTGGGGGTGGGTTTTTCCTGGTAGTCAAGATGAGGTGTGTAGTCCTGTGACTGAACAGTTGATCTGATGCAATCTGATCATAGTGAGAGTGACAGCAGAGTGAGTGACACAGGAAAGGTGGATAACAGGGGTGTCCATTTTTCAGCTTTGTAGAGGGGCTTCACCTGTCGGGTGGCTCTTCTTCAATGACACCTATTTTGTCACGACTGTAACCCATCTGACAAATCGACGGCACGTCTTCATGTTTATTACAACAGAGGCTGTGAAGGAACAGCTCCATTTAATATATTGTATACTATTACTTATCGTGTTTGATATGCAATCAGCTGTTTGACTGTCTGTCAAACAGTAGGGGTGTGTGTCACCATCTTTATCAGTAAGGCGTGCTGATGTGTGTCTTTCCTGGATCTCTCAGTGCAGGACCCAGATGATGAAACCATGAAGAGGTCCAGGTAATAACTTGAGTGTCATTGATTTGAACATGTGCGCCTCCTCGGTCACAAGTGATTGTGTTTGTGCATTTGTGTGTGGATGCTTCAGTTTGGCAATTATTTCAAAAATGATCGCAACATTTTATATCTACCTTTTTTAGTTATATGTTGTTGGAATTTTGCTGCTTTAAACACGAGCGTGTCGTGTGATTTGGACATCTTTTGTATTACTAGAATAAGAATCTGCTTCATGTCACATTTTTTCTTTTTAAGGAAATGTGAAATGTGCTTTTGCGCTTTCTTGCTGTGAGGTAGACGAGAAGATTGATACCATTCTCATGTCTATACTCCAACTAATAAGCCAGCAGCCAGCTAGCTTAGCTTAGCATACTTAGCAACTGAAAATGGGAAACAGGTCTGACTGTACCTGACTGTTTCTCACCTGTTGCATTAAATTTTTGTAGTCAGGAAACTGTAGAGACATAACCCTCCTCGAATATTTGTACAGTGGTTTTTGTATGATTATTTAAACAATAGATGACCTGTTTAAACATTGAGCTTTAGAGATATTGGTAGGCAAATTTAGTTACTTTTGGACAGAGCCAGGCTCGCTGTTTCCTCCTTTTTCCTTCTTTGTTCTAAGCTAAGCTAACTGGCTGTAGCTACATATTTAACAGACAGATATGTCAGTCAATCTTTTTATCTAACTCTTGGCAAGATTAAAGCTTATTTCCCAAAATACTAAACTATTCCTTTAAGTTCAGTTTTAATATTTGCCTTCCAAACCTTTCATATCCTTTATTCTGTGTTTACTCTTTCACCTGTTTTTAGTTCTCTGGCACTTTTTCACCTTTTTGTGAACTTTACTCCACTTTCTGCTCTCGCTTGCTCCTTTTTTGATTTATTCTCTCCCTTACAATCTATTTCCTTCCTGTCTATCTCCGTTTCATATCTCTGTTGCTTGCCGTCAGGGAAAAGTTCCTCACTGAGATTCAGAGTCCCCGCTATGCCCGTCTGAGGGATTGGCATCACGACAGGTCTGCCCGCGCCCTCAATATCAAATCCTGAGTGACATCCTAGACGTCATGGGGGATGCAGAGCCCAGCCAGAGCCTGCTAGCGATAGCCACACCGCAACGACTACGTGACAAAGACGACGAAGATAGTCGACCAATGGCAGTTAACAAATTCACCTTTCGGATACAGATGGGGGTGAAAAAGAAGTTTGGGGAAAAATAAGAAAAGCAAACCAAAAATAGAAGAAACATAGCCTAGATGACAAAGCCCAAAGTGGAACCTTGCATACTGAGCCTAAGTGTAAGATCTCCCTCTGAATTTCTGACTTGATGATTGTTGACAACACTGTGGACCACTGTCTGTAGCCCTATTTTCCATTTCACACTGCGTTACTTGGAGTAAACTGGTGGGAAGGTGGGAAGGGGGGCTCAGCAGTGGGAATCGCCTTTCTGTTCCTTATTCTTCTTTGATTGTGAAGTTCAGACCCTCCTTTGATCTCTGTCTGTCTGTCTCTCTCACTCTCTCTCTCTCTATCTTCTGTTTCCATTTATTGAGTTCTTCATCCTGTTAGTTTTCATTTCTGATCCCCTCATCTCGTAGGCTTCTCCAACCATTAAGAAAGAAAAGGAAGATAAATCTGTACTTTTGTTTTTTTCTGCTGTCATCAAAAACATAAAACATCTGAAAAAAAGCAACTCCTGCTTCTCTGTCCTTTCTTCTGTGTTTCCTTTCTTCTTGTTTATTCGACATTCAAGCTTTGAATGATGCATCTCTTGATGTACAACTCTTATTTCTCTTCTCTTTCTTTAGCTGAGTCACAGCAATTTCTTTACTCAGCTGGTGTACTGGACACAAATGATTATGTAGAAGCAGGGCTTTCCTCTGTATGTATGCAGTTCTGAAATAATGGGGTGTCTTCTCAAAGATCAGGGTTCAAGTTTACTTGTATTACCTTGGAGAGAAAATTGTTGTGCAGTCAGGCATAAATACAACAAATGGGCATACACACATGAAGTAATACACAATCAAAAAGTGCAGAGGAAATGCAGACTTTACTCTGTTGCCCTTGCCTGAAATAAAAATATCCAAGAGTATTTAAAACTTGATAAAAAAGAAAACATTACTGTATCATATTGAGAGTTGAGATAAGAAATGGCTGCAGCTCAGAGAGAAAAGATCTGATAGCTAGTTGCACATAAGACTTACGAAACTGAGAATGTTTTGATGATGAAGCACCATATAACTTGATTTATGAAAAGAAAGAAAAAAATTTCAGGAAAAAGGACATCTGGAAACTATTTAAAAACCTCGTCCATGGACAAGGTACATGATTTACTACTTTAGGTGACCAGGAGAAAAATGTTGGATGGTTGCTCTTTACAAGGTGATGTTGCCTAATAGTTTGTGAATGAGAAGTGCTCTACCTTATGTAGTGTGAGGAAGAAATATTAAAATTTTATGGCAGCAGGAAACTTGATAGGCAATGCATTAAAAAAAAAAGGTAAGCTTTTCCGCATACAGAAAACTGAAAAAGGAAATTAAGGTTAGGCTATACGTTTGTCTTTGGTAATACTGTCAGTCATTTAATTACCAATTACACAATTATTAAACAAGTAACTAAAACTAGGCCAAACAAGTTTAAATTAGTTGCACTGTACCAATAAGTATATCCAGACAACCTCACCCCACACTGATTGTCAAATATCAAAACAATGTGGAGAAATTTCAGCAGATAACCGTAACAGTAAAAAAAAAAAAAGTTTCACCCATGTTTAATATGCCACATGTAACAAAGAAAAAAACGACTACAGCCGCTTAATTGCAAAATTGTAGTTTTCTTGACATTAGGAGCCTTGTAAATAATAAGGGATGAGGGATGACAGAAAGAGCTTGTTGCATACAGGCAGAACAGCTGTGCCTCCCTCTGCCCTCTATGAGGTGTGCCACCATTGTTTGACATTTTGTCAGTTGTCACATTCAGGTTCTTTGCAGAGCTGCAACACTTTTACCTCCTCACTGTGGAGGGTGACATATGTCAGTGGTTTCTTGCTCCATGTAAAATCAAAACCTGCTCCTTTCTCTGCCGGATGTTGAGCTGTTGAGCTGCCAACAAACTTTCCCCATTGTTCAGGTTGATGCATCCCACAGGAGAGGAAGCCAAAAAAAAAACCAAAACTGGTTAATCCGAAATCGGAGGTGTAAAGAGTGAACAGGAAATGTCAAGGAAACATTCCATGGGGTGCTGCTCTGCAGCATGTCCAAAACTCTGTATCGAAGGCAAAGAAAACCCCCTCCTGTCTGCACAGTCTGTGATGCAGGAATTGTGCACCTGCATCACACTGAGCCTCTCGCTGAGCAGATGGGGGAGGAGGATGTTGAAAGCAGTGAAAATGTCAAGAAAACATGATCCAGTCTGCTCCAGGTGGGAATAAGCAGCTGTAGAGGATGTACTCCAATTTGCACCTGCAACCTACACCAGAGTGAGGTCCAGCCAAACAAACCTCTCAAAGGTGTGTGAGAAAGTCAGTGCCACTGGCCTGTTGTCATGAAGGGCAGCACAGGACGGGAGTGTAGACGGGGCGCTGTTGTTGACCAGGATGTTTTTTTGTAGGTTGTTAGGTGGGGTCCCAGAAGGCAGGCTTGCCAGTGTGCGCTGGAGGGCAGCTGACCCTGGATCTGTATGTCAAACAGGCTGAAACTGTTCTGTCCTCTGTTTGACCCAGCTGCCAGAGATCCTTCTTATCCAGCCTCCTCTCCTCCTTTCACTCTGTTTTGCTGTAGTTCCTTTACAAATGTCTTCTGGTACGACGGGTGGTGGTCTTACCTTCCTTTAATTTAGAAAGATTTAACTTCCTCCCTGTCACCAGCCCTGGAAGCCATATTCTTGCTATTGCAAGGGGATTTTATGTCTTTTATTATTCAGAGAATGCTGAAAAATAGCTGTTTTTATTCTTCTTTCTAGATAGCTCCCAGCTGTAAGGCTATAACTTCTCCTGCCTCTGTAACTTCTTGTGTTTAGTTGTTGCTACATAAGGAGTATAATTGATAGGCAGACTTAACCTGATACAGGCGACGCTATAGAACAATGCAGTTGCAGGGTAATTCATTTCACGTTTTCCTCTTTTTCCTTGCAAATGAGAAATGATTTCATCATCTTTCATTAGTGTAATGTAGATGCCACAGTTGATGATGTAAACACGATAGTTGCCTAAGGCGGTGTTATATTTTTTCCCAAGATGAGACGTCTCCAGAGCTTACTGTCTTGGCTCAGAAGTTGTTTTTCCGTCTCAGTCATGGTTTGAAGATTTTCTGAATATGGTGACGCTTGCTGCGGGTAACAGAACTTTGAAATGTAGAAACAACTCTTTATTTCAACGATTCTTCCCATGGAGGCTTGAAGCGAAACTCCTCGGCATCCTAATCTGACAGCAGAACGCGTCTTGAGTTTCTTATTCTCTAACTTTGCCTGTGAGTGACGTCTATCAATCCGAGATGTTTGGGTTTCTTAAAGCTCTCATTAGTGCATGGCTCTCGAACCACTTCGATGTGGAGCTAAAAACGTCTTTACCGAATGCACACGGTCGTATCTGTTGTTCAGCGTTGATTATTACATGATTGATTTTTACTCACAAAGGCTTGTGTAAAATAGCCCGCAAATCAATTCAAATTCTATCACTGTGTGTTTTCTTTAACATTCACCTAAATCATAGACACTAAACCAGCTTGTCTTGCCACAACAGGTGAGAAACCCATGCTGCCTGTTGATACTGATAAACATTAATGATGATGCTTCTTATGATCATTCACTCAGAGGGTAATCTGCGGCACAATGTAGACAACCATGGCTGCTGATATCCAAACATGACGTTCATTGAGTAGTTACCATGGTTACCGAGAGGTGTGTGTGTGTGTGTGTGTGTGTACCTTTTCTAATTAGTCATTTTCTCCCCACAGCCTTGAGCCAACTCCCTCACCTGCCAAGGCCCAGGCAGCAGATAAACCAGATGGTGAGTTTCTGCTCCTGCTGATGCGTAAAAAGAACCCCAGCAGTATCCAGTAGAGGTTGTGCTAATAGATTCTTATTAAGTGTCAATACATGAACATCAGCGGCAACAAACGTGACACGCAAAACTGTCACAACATACATCTGGCGGGAGCATGTGTATTACATAAAAGCGTCCCCCTCCTGTTGTGAAATTATTCAAAGTCACAGCCAAGTTTTTCAAACTGCTGTATTTCCAAAACAGATCACACTGTTTTTTTGTTGTGTGTGTGGTTTTTTTTTCCTTTGGCCCAGGCTCCAAGACTACAGCTGCAGCAGCAGGCAGTTCAGGTCCTTCCAGTCGACCGCCGTGGGTCACTGACCCTAATTTCGCCGACCGCTTTCGCCCAGACAAGACCAGCACCGTCGTGACCCAGCATCAGCAGCCGGCCGAGCCGACGCCTATGCAGAACCGCAGCTCCATCCTGCAGGCAGCGCAGCAGGCACCTGAGGACAGTGGGAGGACCCCGTTATGTGGCGCCTGCAACAAAATCATAAGGTGAGGCCTCGCCGCCACATCTACAGTGACAGTTGGATTCATTTTATCGGGATAAAATACTCTTAATGTTGGCACCTCTCAAAGCGCTGTTAGAGAAATGACACATCATTTAAGACTTAAGTTAATATACACGATGACAGACTTTATGTCTGCAGTCAACATAATTAACACAGTTTGGAGACATTTTGTTATCAGTGGAGACAAGGATTATGCCGACTTTGAAATAATTTAAATCTCATTTCACAGATAACAGAGAAACCTTAGTTTTTATTCTGTTCACTATTGCAAGATAATTGAACAGCTGTTTTGAGGTGAAGATACAAAGTTCACAGCAGAACTAAAGACACATGCCCAGTTTTTAATCGCATTGTTCACAAAAGGAGCCAACATTTCTATTAGAGCTGTCCTTGTTTTCCCTGTTAAAGTGGAAAATTATGTAGCAGATTTTACTAATGCCTCTGTTGTGCTGTTAAACTGTGTGTGTGTGTTTTCCAGGGGTCGGTACCTGGTGGCGCTGGGACGTTCTTGGCACCCCGAGGAATTTACATGTTCACAGTGTAAGGCGGTCCTGGATGAGGGGGGCTTCTTTGAGGAGAGAGGGTCTGTCTACTGTACCAAGTGTCACGATAACCGATACGCTCCGAACTGCGCCAAGTGCAAAAAGAAGATCACAGGGGTAAGAGCTGCACTGTTGCGTTCAGAAAAATCAAAACACAAACAAGAAACATGGAAGGAATTTTAGCCTGGAGAGACATTTTAGGCTTGAATAAGGCGGCTGTTCTAAAGTATTCTGTGATTTCTCTGTACCGAACATAGAAGAACATACGGATGTAAAAAAAATTTACAACCTTTTCTCCTGTTATCAGGAAATCATGCATGCCCTGAAGATGACCTATCACGTTCAGTGTTTCAAGTGTGCAGCCTGCAAGACTGCCATCAGGAACCAAGCCTTTTACATGGAGGAGGGTGAACCCTACTGTGAGAAAGGTGAAAAATTGTTCAGTTACTAAACTGTAACTTTCTATTAACCATTCTACTTTTCTTTTTTATAACAGTTCAAAATTATTACAAAAATAATGTAAACAATATAAAAAAAAAAACATTTTTGGTTAGGTTGAATTAAATACTGTGGCGTATTAATGACTTGACTCCTTGAACTTCAACAGAAAAACATACACCAAAATGTACTCATTTCATGCTAATAATGATAATGATATCCCATGTACTGAGGCTGAGTCCTTGCTACAATGGTCATGCGTCCAAGTCCAAACTGTGGCCTTTGCGGCGTATCACTCCCTCTCTCTCCTCCTTTCCTGTCTACCTTGAGCTGTCATATCTAATAAAGGGAAAAAGCCTATATATATGTTTTAATAATATATATATGTATGTATGTATGTATGTATGTATGTATGTGTATGTGTATGT